AAGAATTCAACTTACTTTTTATACATACCTCTGGAAAGCAAACTACGGAGGCCGATGCACTCTCAAAAATGCAGTTGGATGAGGAAGGAAATAATATAAAATGCGCTATGCCTACGGTAAAAGTGCTCGACACACGTAAAACTATTATAGAAGAACTGCAAATGAGAGCCCAAATTAAAAAATATATATTCTTATTTGAAGGATTCGGATCATTACGGCACTAATTAACATTACGGCAATAAGAAAGAGTCTAGAACTACGAATTTGCTGATAATCTGTTACTTTATTCAAAAACCACGAATCAAAATTACGAGCTTTAACCGGTTATCCCAGCGAGTTTAAGGTTAAACATCCTAAGTACACGATTCGCTTATTTCTCGCTACCTGGGAATAAGAAAACAGTACAACGAGTTCGCAAGGCGGTGTATTTTTCTTAACTGCAAACATTTGTAAATGCGGTATGCCAGGTTGTGCCATACTTGTCAATTAAATAATGATATTAAGTATACCCAGCCGGGTAAACGCTTCCAAACGAATTGGAATAAAATTATTAGGCCCATGCCCTCGCAACGAAGTCAGTAAAAACCGATATTTACTCGTTATTGGAGAAACATTTTCTCTAAATGGGTAGAAATAGTCCTCCAAAGAAGAGCCTCGGCTAAAGTAGTTATAGATTCTTTCGTAAACAAATGCATTTTAAAATATGGAGCTACATTAAAAATAATTTCCGGTAACGGAAAACAGTTTATTAGCCAAATATGTCAGGTATTATGCGAGAGCCTTGGCATATGTCATCTAAAAATGGTGCCTTATCGGCCGCAGCCAAGCCATAGTGGAGTAATAACATAGTTAAAATTATACGTTGTTATGTCAAAAACCATCATAAGCGCTGGGATAGCGGGATTAATGAGTTAGCGTTTGCATTAAGGGCAGCTAAATATGATACAACAGGAAAAACTCCAACAGAATTATTCTTAGGCCGAAAACTAAATTCTTTGTGCAGAAGAGAGCGCCAGAATTCAAAATGACAGACATACAGAAGATAAGAGACAAAGCAGTGAAAAATTAAATTATGACAATGGAGAAGCAGGAGCTGTATTATGACAGGAAAAGGGCTGGAAATGAATTACAAGGTGGTAGACCAGTTAATTACTCATTATCATGTTCGGAGGAAGACAGAGTAGCAGAAATTTGTCCACGATTTCAAGGCTCATACCTAACTGAAAGATTTCCAGAATCAGCAGTTTATTTAAAAGACAGATATGGAGAACAGACAATGGCAAATGTATATCAAATTAAGCCCTACTACAAAAGGACGAAGATGGAAATATTTTTCAGGAATGGTAGCAAGAAAAATGAAAATCAGTGAGGCGCAGCGGCAGAGAACGATGGAAGTACATGTTCCTGGTTAAAGGTGAGCAACCACCAATATGAAGCAACCAGAATGAAAGACAAGAGGTCAAGAAAGCCGCTAAGACGAAGGGAATCCAGTAGGATACATGAACCACCAAAGAATGTTCAGCGCTGGCAAAATGCCCGAGGAAAAAGTCCCATCGCATGAGGCCAAGTACATTGAGGAATTGACACCGAAGTTTCTACAGAACAAGCGCGCAGCTGAGCAATCTTCAATGATGTAGATCCGACTGTGGAAATTCCAACATTCTGTGTTACCTAAAGAGATCAGCGGACTTTGAGAGTACCCAACGCTAACGGAAGGTGATGAGACTCCGAAACGGCCCAAGGAAGAGAGGAAAACCCCAACTGAGCAGGAGGCTCAACCCCGAAGGAGGTTCTGGGTTCGGAAAACTACAATGTTACCTACGTGGGAGGACTTCGTGAATAAACGAATGGAGAAATACCGAAAAACAAACAGATAAGTGGAAATTAATTTTTCCTTACTAAGATTCAGTTTTCTTTTCTATCTAGACAATGGTAATTTCTTTCGAATTTTGCCTCAGATTAGATTATTTCAGTTGTTTAAAGAGAAAGAAGCTCGGAATTTTAATTGGAATGATTTATATTCATTATGAATTTAGATTAGAAACAGTAACTCTATTTTAGTCTGAGGGACTGATGTGAGGAAATTTTAATGAAAATATTACGAAATCTTAAGCAGCTTGCGTGCCTTGACATTATAGTGCAAGCCAAATTTTCTAATTTAATGTATTGTAAATAGTTCATTTATATACAGTATGTCTGATGTTTTTATTGTAAGTATTAAAAGTACTCTTAAATATATGTCTTCAAGTAAATTAAGACTTGCATAGTTGTAAGAATTAAATCTGTATTGTAAGAAAGAGCGGTTTATATGCCTAGAAAATTTCAGACAAATTTCAGTTAAAAGTAAAAAGGTAGCTAGGTGCATGAGTTTAAAATTAGGCTCTCCAGCCGCCAAGTTTAAAGCACGCTCTTGTTAGCACATTAGGTGCAGTTTTGAAAGAAAGTTATTTTTTAGGTCTAATGAGTCCAAATTTTTAACATATAGCTTGTGGATTAAATGGTAAAGTTGTGGCACTAATGCAAAAACACACTCTCTCGATATTTACAGTATATTTTTACTGGAGATAGTAGGATAGAGGTTTTATTGATCGAATACGCGAGTTGAATGAAAGTTTAGATAAATTTAAATGAAATGTTTAAATAAAACAGATTTAAAAGAGATAATATAAACTGAAGTAATGTATTATGTTTTGAAATTTTCTGCTTCAGTCTTTTTCCTTCTAGATATTTGGAAGAAGTTCAACTGCTGAAATTTTGTAATAGAGGATATGTATGAGGATCCAGATCTTTGCTATGTAAATTTAAAATTAATTACTTTAGTTTAAATTTTATGTTACTGTTAGAGTTTGGCTCTGAAGGATTTAGAATTAAAATTCTTGATGAGGTCATTAAAGAGTCTCCTTAAATTTTGGCAGGGAAAGATGTAGACTTTACATCTAGTTTCTAGCAAGTTATATATTGATCATTTGTTCTATCTCCTTCATTTCGATTTGCTTGCCTGCAGGAAATTCAAATTAGATAGAAAGAAGAGAATATTTAAAGGACAGTTTTAGAGGGTAGAATTAGAGTGAATTCTGCCTGCTGCAGGCAGCATTGCTAATTTGATTTCCTGGCGAGTAGTAGTCTGCGGTATTGCGTTATTATCGCCATTAGTACGCCGACCTTAGCTCGGAGCCAGCTTGCGCCTTATTCTATTCGTGCAGGCGTTAGGCTAGCTTACTTGGCTTAGTTTTAATTAATCAATTATCTTTGCTTTAGCCGTAACTGTTGGCTTTCATAAGCACGAATGGTGCCGTCTATTTGCTTTTAAGCCAAATAAAGGTGTTCGTTCCACCCTTTCCCTGTCTCTGTGATACTTAACAAGACAAAGCGAAAATTCGCTGTTAGTCTTTACAATTCTCTTATACCTGATGTTACCTAAGAACACAAGCCTCTGCACCCCAAACTGACATTTTACAGCTCTGAAACTTTTCACAAATGTATTTGTACAGCTCTTCTCAGTATGCCAGAGCGCACCACTAGCTAAGAATGCCAGAGCTCAGTATGCCAGAGCACACCACTAGCTAAGAAAAGTACTAAGAATATTAAAGGCAATGCAAAGAGAATACAAAGAGCGAAGCTCGCCTTGAGTTGTCCCTATACTTAGAACTCAACTCTAAATTAAAATCTGGGAACTAATACTCTCTCTGGTATTCTATGGGTTTACCCCAGCCGACGAGAAATTTTCAGTACATTACATTTCCCGATATTGCTGGAGGGCATACACAGTTAAAGTTACATATAGATATCAGATCAGTTAGTTATATACCTATAAAACATGATTAATTTTCTTTGATTCACAAAGAAAGGGATTTAAAAGCAATAAATGCAGTTCATCCTCTCTATTATTAGCTAGTAAGCCCTCGATTCTCTAACCAAATAAGCGAACTCGTAAAACTTGCTACGATATGAGCTGCCTTAGAATGGGAGACTTAAAAATTAGAAAATAAATAAAACTTAAAGCTGTACGTAGATTTTGAGACTTGCCGATAAGATTAAACGAAGTTGAAATAATAAATAAACGATTAAACAAAGGTGGATATAGATATCAGATCGCTTTAATCACAGAAGAATAGAAGTTTTTGGCTCGAATCTCAAAGAAGACTTAGATTTGTGTAAGTTATGATGTATGAAGGCACTTAAAATGCTGGCAAACTGAAAATCGTTTCGACAGACTTGGTGGCAAAGAAAGAGGATGAAAATTTTTAGGATCCATTTTCCGGGCAGTTTTCCATCAAAATGAGTATGAAGCTTCCCCTTTCTTAGGCGTGCTATTCGGTCACCCCCTGTACTGCAGCATGAGCAACATTTCCGGTAATGAGAAAGCTAAATAGCGGATAAGTATTGACCATTCCAGGCGAATGCATTATATTGTAGGTGTCCAGCCACATAGAGCAACAATAATATTATCTACCATTTTCTACCATAATTTTGCTATTGAGTATCACCGATGATCATTTAGAAGCAGTTTTAAAAATCTTCATTATAAAGTTAACACATCAGATTTAAACAAAATGTTAAAGGACATAAAACAGCATCATTCAGAATTCACTTCTCCTGAAAATAATAATTAAATTGAAATACATTTGCTGCCCGCAGCCTTTTCTTTAAACATCAATATGGCTCTTTGGCCAAAATATTTGTCCAGACTAGGTCCAAATGCTTCAAATAAACCTATTAAAACACAACTTACAGTACTACTTTTTTTTTCTCCAGACTAGTGTTAATCAGACGGAATCGCCTTTAAATGATAAATTTCATTCTTTTGCCTAAAATATAAATTTTCATTTTATATATCTCAGCTGGTTCCCAGATAGTGTTAAATGCTTAGACGGCATGACTGGAGATAAGTGGGAATCAGTTATCAGTACCTTAAATTTTACTTTCGATAACAAAATTTATGAACAATAATTTGTAAAATAATCTCATAACGTTTGAATAGGAGAAAGAGTTCCACTTACAAGTGAAAAGCAACAGCTGGCAAAGGATGTTCTTTAGGAAATTCATTCTCAGCTTGCTGGTATGAGGCCTTTCCATTTATTATGACAGGGCTGCCGTTATTACACTTATAAAGTGAGCTGCTCCAACAGTTTGCGTATTTATGCCACGTATGCATTGAAACAATAAGCAAAGGAATAATAACTTTGCTTGGATTTTTCGTACGCCAGGTGTCTAGCCGACATTACGCATATGGAGGACGACAATAAACAAAGGAACGATTTTTGATTGACATTCTTCCTCTGCCAGATCTGTAGCTGACAGCACACATATGGAAAAACACAATAAATAAAGGAATGATCTTTAACTAACATTCTTTTTCCGTCAAGTCTGCAGCTGGCTGCACGCATAAGAAGAAAGCTAAACAATACAGAATGTGATTTCTTTATGCTACATTTGCACTATATCAGTAAATAAAGGATCTGACTGACTGTCTTCGTATGTCAACTGACATTTGACACAATAGATCTGGAGAAAGACTGAAAAAAACTTAGCTCTAGCTGCATATTACGTAAAATATGGAAAACTGCCAGTCATCGCACATCATATTTTCTCCAACAGAGAAAAAATTACATTCATATATTTAAAATGTTCTATGCACTTTTCTTGAACTTCGTCAAATACTTATTATGTATTTATAGAGACAGAGAGGTAGATATAGACTAGTTAATGGAAGACTAAATTTTGAATCTTGTGGCAAATCTCTGAGGTTTTCAGAATTCATAAAGATAAAGTGCGTTATCTAATTGCATTGATTTTTCGATTTGGTAATTGATTTCTGTGTATTCCAGATACACAAAAAGACCTTTAATAAAGCTTTTCATAAATCCCACATTATTGACTGCTGAAACACAAGAATTACCTGTACAAATATACCCTTATAAAAATACAATATCTAAAAATTAGTAGTACCTTTTATACTAGTAATTTTTTTCATTCTACGATTAGACACATTCTACTATTAGATGCTATAGATGCCTGAAAACTCTAATATTCATTTTAGTTAAATAAAGTTAATCTTGTTGCTAACAATTTGTTCGCTTTTATATATTTTTACTCGCTGTCTTAAATAATGTAGAATAAAACATACGCATATTAAAATATCAATTTTATTGTTTTGTTTAGAAGTTTTTCTATGCAACCTGAAGTTCTGCATCCGTAAAATAGCAAAATATCCAATTTTCTTCTAAAAATGGGATACAACCAATTAGAAAAGTTATGTTGTTAGTTTAATTTTGCTACAAAGGAGCTGTATTCTTCTCGATAAACATATAAAATACGTCATTGTAAAAGAAAATCTGTACACATTACCAAGTCTTGGAAATTGATGCGTCAACGCACACAGTCATTATCAAACTGTTTCTGTTTGGCAAAACATAACGAAGTTTATTTGTTTATTTTTCCTTAAAATTTAATTAGTCGATTATTAATTGATATATTGAGCGTTTTAAAAGCAATTAACTCATTTTTAAACCGTTTGAGGTTTTATTCCACGATTTTAGTGATGTATCTTTCTAATTAATATACGTTAGGATATGAACGGTGGTTAGCTTTCCCTGTCTAAAACCATTCGTAGCTGAACTTAGTCAATGAAATAAAATCAAGTTCCATATACAGACTGTGGAAGACATAGAGAATTAAAAAAAAAGTACCAAAAATCGCCGATAGGAGAGATTTTTAACACTGTCGGAACCAAAAACGGTTCAATAATTACAATGAATGGAAAATGGATTACACAAAATTTCTTTGATGCTTCAGCAATAAAAAATACAGATACAAAACGAAACTCAGAGAAAATAATCTTTTATTAATCAACATTTGGACCTCTTGGAATACGTGCAACATTTTCAATGTGTTGACCTACCCTGCGTACAAGATACTGCATCTGCTGTAAGTCGTTCTCTACTACTGCGTCTAAATTGCCAGTTTAGCGGAAGTACCCGATTGCCAGTTAAGTTAGAGTAATGCACCTAACAACAGAGAGAACGATATCGCTGTAATCCTTCTCTAATAACGATGCAAAAATACGATTCATAGTCATACATTTTTCAGTCTGATGCGATATGGGACACACATAAAAAATTTCGATAGAAAAATAAGCTAATTCTCTCTCATTATATCAGCAGCTGGACTGTATTCCGCTAATGAATAACTTTATTCTTTTCATAAGTATATACAGAAAATACCGCTAGAGGGCTGAGGTGCGTAGGTGTAGCTAATGACGTAACATATACACCCCGCGTTGAAATTTCAATTTCAAATTTGGATTTACATTACAGTTCAACATTGACATAATTGACAAAGAAATACACAAATTTAAACAAATAAGGAAATTAAGTGAATAAAGGCAAATATGAAAATAATAAACATATACAGATACAATTACACTGTTACAATCAATGCAAAATGGAAATTCAATCATTCATTGGAAGAAACAAATTTGACTTATACCTCTTTTAAAACTGCCCAGATGTTTTTACTAGAACTACTCGAACCTTTCCGTCTGATCCCTTTATTACCTCTTGTATACGACCTAGCTTCCATTTATATGGTATGATGGTAAATTAGTGTCCTTCAATAAGACCATATTGTTTGGACTAACATTATCTTTTGAAAATTTCCATTTATTTCTTAACTGCAAGTGATTTAAATAATCGCGGGACCAATTTTTCCAAACTAACTGCACGAGTTTCGTTGTTTTTTGCCATCTAGATAAAGAATTATCTGAAATGTCAGTTACATTGGACTCAGGAGTAGACAGTAATGGACGGCCTATTAAGAAATGTCCAGGTGTCAAAACGGAATAATCATTAGGATCTGTTGACCCATTGGTACAAGGGGTCTACTATTTAGTATGCCTTCTATTTCTGTAGTTACAGTTCAAAATTCTACAAATGTAAGTTTGACTTGTAGGCTCAGCTCGTCTTAAATGGTATTTAAAGGATTTCACCCCATATTCCCATAGTTCACCGAAATTTGGAGGGGATAAACTTACAACTAATTTTTTCTGAACTTGGATAATTAGCTAAATTTTCATGGGGAAAGCTCATTAGGTTATGCAACCTCTTTATTTCTGAATTTGCGCCAACAAAGTTACGAGCATCATCCCAATATAAGCAAGATTTTTCTCGTCTTGCGAAGAAGCGTTTTAAAGCTGCAATTAATGCGACTGTAGATAAATCAATTACTAACTCTAAATGAATAGCCTTAGTGGCAAAGCATACAAAGATTGAGACATATTTTTTTTTTAAATGTGCCCTTGCATTGACTCTTGTATTTAAACAAAAACGGGCTATAGAACTCGATCCCACAGTTATATAAAATTGAGGACTAGCGTTAACTTTCTCTGCAGGCAAGTTTCCCAAAAGCTGCTCAAATGATCTGGGTTTATTTTTAAAGAACGTTATACATTCATTTACAATTTTCTGAGCTAAATTTCTTCCTCCTATAGGCCAAAATGCCTGCCTCACGCAATGTAATAACGTTTGAGGACCTATATGTAAATATCTTCTATGCAGGGATTCCATTATAATTTTAGTAAGTTTGTGTGTAGAAGGCAGACGTTTGGGATGCTTTTTGTTTTGATCAAAGTCTGCATTTTGTAAACATCCACCTACACGAAGTATCTCATTCTCATCCAAAAATTACAGATTACTTAATTTACTATTCTTAATATTTTTGTTTCTATTTAAACAAGAAATTTCTTCACAAAATTCATTGCTTTGCACTAATCTTACCAATGCATCTGAAGTCTAGTTCAATTCTTTAACACTTAACTTACTCTTTTTGTGCTCCCTGGGATGTTTCATGTTATGAAAAATCCTGAAAATAAAGCTTAATATTCTACAAAGTTTAGTGAAATTATTACTTAAAGATTAAAAATTATCAATAAAGCACAGTTTGAACTCATTAATAAAACTGGTAAGCTAGAAGGTTTTAGTTCTTTTTTCAAAGTGCATCCACTGGTGTTGCACAACCACCTGGCATTGAAAGCTCGAAAGTCACCCAAGGAGGGCCACTTCACTATAAGGAATTGCCTAACAGTTCTGTAGTTGAGGTACCTCTGGAAAAGACGTCTGTAGGATTAAATTGTTGGAACATACCTCCAGTAAAAATTTGGACACAAAGAATTTTTCACCTTAACCCGATTAGACACAAAGGTTTTTAATCTTTCAGGATCTAATCTTGATCCAGGCTAACGCAATCGTTGAATCACTCCATAGATAAATGTGGTTGAATTGGATTTGAAGAATCACAAACACCTTTGCCACAATTCGGGGCAAGAGTAGCGCAACAGAAACATTACAGAAAGTTTCATTATGCACTGATACACCACTGTCTTTCGAAGCATCATTTAATTTAATCGTTGAAAGGAAGTATTTAATTCTTACCTCCACATTATCCAGAGATGAGTCCAGCTCTTCCATACTTTTTAAGCTTTCATCAACGCTGCAGTAGTCATTGTAGAGGTGAGTCATGCCAACTTTTAGTTCCTTGACGTTCTCTAATTTTACTTCTAATCAGTGGCGGTTCGTATTAAGCACTGTGGAACTGCAGCACCCCTATTTCCACTTATTATTATTTTTTAAATTTGATATAGTGTTCCCTTTAGTCTTTAATTCTTTCTTTGTACTTTTAAAATACATAATCCGTAAGCTTAACGTCAGTAGCCATTCCCCAGTTTGTGAAAAAGGTACGAAAGTCTGTGTTTGGAACTGCGCGCTTCACAGTTCCAGCGACATGGTGTTTGACTGTTCTGCGCATGCACACACAGAAAACAGCACGCAAGCTAGGTAGAGCGAAAAGCACTGTCGCAATTCTGGCGTGTTGTTGAAAAGGTGATTCGTTTTCACTCCGCGCGTGTGGTATTCCTCCACAAAGTGGAACTTCACCACAGAGTTCATGAAAATGTGCAACCTTTAAAAAGTTGCCTTACTGAAATTCAATCATCATGAAATGCAGATCAAACTATAACAAAAGTAACAGGAATTTAAAAATATCTAAATGACGATAATTTCCAAGTTTTGGTTAGAGCTTTTTTTTTATCAGATTATGCCTCATGTTGAAATAATATAAAACTAAATACAATCCAGGAAAATTAGTGTGTTTAAAGTTAATGAATATGTAACACATTTCAAAACTGGTATTTTAGAATTAAGAAACGCAATGTACTGTGAGAATTTTTCAAAGATACTGATAGCAGAAGCTAAAGAAATATGTGACTTTATACTATGTATTGATATAATGCACAGATATTCTTGCACTAAAACTTAGCAGCTGCTAAATTGTTTAACAAGAATTGCTACGCTAGTTTTACGAATGAACTCCTACAGAAGAAATAGTACTGACCACTGAAGCATATCTAATGATTGACAAATAAAATCTCGAAACTGAACTAAAAGTATTCTATCGTAGGTCTGATATCCGTGAATACTGCAAATTAATTGAGCTACTGAAATTTATCTTTGAAAATAATCTAGATGATGTTCTTAGTGAAATTATGAAACTGATAAAAGTTTTCTTGAGAGTTCCCATGACTACATCAGAGGCAGAACGCTGCTTTTCAGCATTGAAAAGAATGAAAACTTTCCTAAGAAGCACTAGGAATTCGGATACTAAATGCGCTTGCATTGCTTTCAACAAAGAAAAATTTCCTCAGTTGTCATCCAGAGATCAAGGAGAAAATTATTGATCCTTTCGCGCAAATTAAAACAAGAAGAATGGATTTCATTTTTAAATTAATAGACAAAGATTGAACTGTAACAATTTTGGTTAAAGTTAATTAGGAAATTTTTAATTTTTTCTTGTAAGATTTCATGAAGTTTCAAAATAAATTTTCTTTTTATACATGTTTGTTTCCTTTTAGAAAATTGTGTCCACCAGCGGCCGAGCGGTAAAGACGCTGAACACTGGTAGTTCGGTCCGAGGTTCGAATCCCGCGAACGGGTTGGCTGCATGTCCGTTTTCGTGGTTTTCCCCGTGTGTAACGTATATACGAGCCAGTTTCCCAGGCACAGGCATCTCCGGAATTCATCTCTCCCTCTTTCTTCAGAAATTGGGTAGTCGGACATCCCAGGCCCGAGGCGCATGTTCGCATTATCATTTAGTTAGCATTGTTATTTTAAACCGGATAGAGGATCAGCGATAAGAAGGATCAAGTTAAGACACACCCTCTCCCGCGGGCTCCGGGTTGAGTACTCCGGTTTTACACCACATTCGAGTGGAGCGTGGCCTAACGCCAACCTTAGAAAAACGAAGAAATGCTGACACTCGGAATGCATGCACTGCTGCTAAAATCATAAGTCTTAATAAAATGTTCTCAGCTGAGTCGATTTTCTGTAATGCAGAGAATGCTCAAAACCCAGATATACACTGCTGACCATTAAAATTGCAACACCAGGAAAGAATGAGCTGATGAACGTCAAAATCACATGATAGGAAGAAGAGGTTGGAATGTGCAAAAGATTAGTATTTCAGGCCATTTAGACGACGCAGGAGGGAGAAACGACATCTGAGGATTTGCATAAAAGAAAAGTTGTTTAGTGGATTTCTCATTCGGAAAGCGCTTTGTAATGTCGGAGTTTGCTCCGTGTATCGTGTTAAGTCTCGAATAATACTAAGAAATGCTTACCTGCAAGTATCGGAATGCGATAGAGGCAGAATTGTCGCCTATCGAGAGTGTGGATTATCGTTCCTTGATATCGCCTGTCGCACTAGTCAACATCCATCCATTGTTAAGCGAATATGGAATCAAATAGGTTGCTGAGGGTCATACTGAATGGCATGCAGGAACTTAACGACCTTCTATGAATAACGCCCGAGAGGACATGCATATTGTGAGGTTAGCCCTACAAAACCGTACAACCACATCATGGACCATTAGTCAGGGAATGGGCATGTTTGCACATGCCATGCTCTAACGGCGCGTCGACGTTTGCAGCCGCCTGGACTATCAACACGACGGCCATTACTTCGGCTTTCTCTGACAATGCAAGAGAGACGGAGACTCTGGTGAGCGGAACGACAAAGCTACATACAGGAGTGGCACAACATCGTATTTTCAAACCAGTTCCAGTTCTTCGCAGTATTCTGATGGGCGTATACGTGTCTAGAAGCTCCAAGGTAAGTAAATATGGTGTACAATATGAACAGAAGTTTTACAAAATAAAGTAAAATTCAATGCATATAGGAAATTAAAAGGTTTAAAATATACAGTAATAATTTACATCTAAAATTAAGGCCCTTTGAATCAATCATTAAATTTGAAAATAATCGCCGTTAAGGGTACATAGAAAATATCATTATATGCGTAGTAAATTAACTGGAATATGAAGAAAAATTGATTAACGTAGGAAATTACCACCGGTAAATCAATAAAAGGTAATCTCTTACTAAACTGTGACGCCATCTTACCAACTAAATTAAGAGTCATAAAATACTTCTTATCAGTTAGCTGGGTCATTTACATTTCGCCTGCGCGTTTCGCCCGAGAGCTTGCACCGCGCATCGCCTTTCTGGATGTGAACTCTTATACTATAGCAATAACTGCAAAATTTTAACTTCTTCATTACTAGGATAAATATGGTAAAGAAGAAAACTTTATTCCAGTCTTTTAAAAAATATTCCAATATCATTATGAGAAATATTTTCAATACTGTTAAAAATCAATTATACCATATTAAATACTGCAATCACAATTATTTAAAAACTCCTACTGCAATTTCTTTTTGGCTCTATAGCTATAATTCTGGAATTAAGTATTTACATGACATAAAAAAGCAAAAGTGAATCTCAGTTTTTCTTTGCGAAAAGACTAAATTTTTATTACTAGAAACACTTTTCTCAAAGTCCCTCTTAGTAAAAAATGCTAGGTTAAAAACAGTTTTTCAAAACAATAAAAAAATGAAATTAAAAAAATTATATCTTTTATTAATAGTTTAATAAATTGTTAACATAATCTATTTATATTATTTAAACAAGCAAATAACAAAGACTACATGGTTTATCAAATTAATTTATTCAGTTACATTGTCACATTTGTATTAAAACTAATGGCACATTTAAAAGAATCTCTCCATAAAATCAGAATGCATTGGTTCATGATTGTGAATTGAAGCACACACATACCTAAATTCATCATTTCTCCGACAATACATACACTCAATTTACAAAGTTTAAGACTGAATATTTTCTAATAATTTTAACACACTGATTATCAACACATGTTGATTTCTTTAAAATGTTGTCTTTTTACTGAAAGAAATTTAAATGGAAATTTTTGTTTCATTTTATGCAATTGATATTAAAGAACTTGAACCTTAATAAAGATTGTCTTTTACAGTAACTGCTCCTGCAGAGAAATCTGCCCTAAACTTCTGAAATCATCTCGGGTATACAGGAAGCGTAAACAGGGGCCATGAAATAATTTTCCAACACTAGAGCTGTGTGAAGGCATACAGAAGCTCTATGATTGCATTCAGAGATGCTTAGCATCAGAAGAAATGTACGCATGCAAAGAATTATCACATTCCGCCTTTCATGCTCTCTTGCTGTAAATGTCTACATAGCAATGAAAAATCTATATCTAGAATCTCAGTAAGGGTGCAATTGATTCTTCATATTTTTCGTTCCAGGAACCCTAATGATCTGTAGTGTAGCATCCACAAAGTGGCATAAAATGTAATAGATTAGTAATTCATCACCATCTAGATTTGATGCTTTAAGCAGGGAGCATGAAAAAAATATGTCACATTCCCCGTGTGTGCTCTTGTGGTGTAAATGACTAGCATATCCAGTTCACATTGAAAGATTCGTAGTTTGAATCAGGAAGCGGGCAGTTATTTTCTACTCTGAAAAATCTAATGATTCCTACATTCAGAATGCTAAACAAGGATAAAGTTCTTTTTCTTGAAATGTGCTACGAATTCAGTCCTGTAGATGCAACACGCACATAAAAAATATAAATTTAGAGGAAAAACATAAAAGTATTAATACCTAACGATACATATCAAGTTAAGATTTACGTTTTAAGCTCTTTAAATAGCGTTAAAAATATTAATTTACCATAAATGAAACATAAAAGCTGTTCACACAAATTGTTAGCTGTGTCATGTTAAGCAATAAAAAAATTATACCACAGAATTACACATAAAGAATATATATATTATAATTTACCAAAAATGAAACATAAAAGCAGTTCACACAAATTCTAAAGTAGCTGTGTCATGTTAAGCAATAAAAAAATTATACCACAGAATTGCACATAAAGAATATATATATATTATAAAGTCAGCGAAAAGATCATAAGCATTAACAAAAGTTCTATTAGTTATAAATAATTAAGCTTCAATTAAACATTTTATAACACTATTATTATGAATTATCATGGATAAAATTCGTAAAAGGCAAACAAGTATAGAGAAACATTTTCGAAATGCATGTTAGTCACTATCTAATAACAAATTTTAAGTTAAGCTTCAAGTTTTCAACTCATTAAATACTGTGTCAAAATATTAATTTACTATAAATGAAACATACAAGCAGTTTAAAAAAAATGTAATAACTGGTCAAGAATCTGTGCGATATTATTATCTAATTTCCATTTCGTTAAGAAAGCTGTATGAATGAACCGAATTTGTAAAGCCATTCCAATTTTCTAATCATCTTTTAAAACAGCAATGATTAACACTTTATGCACCAAACAGTTTCTTAGAATACATTTCATTGATAAAAGACAAGACTTGTACTCCCAGAGGCGGATCTTCATTCAGAAAAATAGTCCACGCTTCAGTACATTTGATGTTTTCAAATACAGAGGCAAGGAAAGACAGAGATTTTTGCATCAATTCTTCATCTTGATGCCTACTAGCTAAAGTTATTGTCTTAAAAATTGTGGAAGCAGATAGTGAGGAAACAATACATTCACGGCATATATCCTTAAGATCCGGTAGACAGTATTTATCAGCCGCATAATACAAATCATGGATCATAGAGTAAGAGGTTTGGTTTATTCCACCACAGTATATAAATTGCAACAGTTCCTTCAGAACATCAGGATTGATATCCGTGATTACCATTCTATTCTCTGTGCTTTCTGTCAACACATGCTGGAACATTTTAGCAAGCACTGGAGATCTAGAAGAAAGCACACACTTGTGAGCACGGATTTCCAAGTCTTCGCAGATTAAAACGAAATCGGATTGATCAGACATTTCGTACATATTCTGCAAATCGTGCAGTACTTTAGGATAAGTCGTATGGGTCTGTACTGACATTTCTTCTGTTTTTGTTAGTTCTGTAATACATATATCACACATTAGTGTCACTTCACGTTGAAGTAATTGCACTTTGAGTACATTAAATATATTTATATGTTTAATATTATTATGCATAATACTATCAAAATTGTACCGTCTAAAATTAAAATTCGCATAATGGCTTACTGCTCCCTTTATGTGAAGAATTTTATCTAATGTTTCTCTACGAAGTTGCAAAATGTTATCATCCTTGTAGATGGAGAAATGCAAGTACCATTCTGTAGAGTGATGATGAGCTTTGTAATTTGGACTTCGAAATTCGCCCCTACAGCCTGATGGATTAGAATCAGCCATTTCACGAGGGTTAATAGTCCACTCGAAATATAAATGCTTGCATGCCATTTAAAGTTATGTAAGTTTTGCAGTTGAAGAAGAAAGAACTGTAGTAGATTAATGTCAGACACAGTATTCAAAGAAGAATAAATGAAGTTTCTGAGAAGGATGAGGTGACAGAATCAGTTTCTCTTTAAATAGTAATTCACAGGGAACCAACAGATTTCCTATGAGAGATTATAATCACGTGATTATGTAACTTCCGTAGTGTCGCTCTCTCGTAACTTCAGTTTCATTTCTCAAGTCAGATGATGAAGTCATATTGCCTGCAAAATATTAAAACACTTTTCATAAGCAATTACATTGGTAGTGCGTTTTTCTGGCGCAAAACCTTAAGGGTTATATGTGCCGAAACTAATGTAAGGCATTTTTAAAAAACAAGTGGGAGATAAACAGACAAATAGACAAGATAAAATTCACAGGAAAAGCATAAAATCCAAATAATTGTTAAAATGATGAATGCTAAGATGAAGTAACCTACAATTCAGATGATGATATCAGATGAAAACAGGTGTAAAATCATAAAACAGGAGAGAAATTAAAATACGCAGCATTAAATACCATGATTGAACATCAAGGCAAAATCAAATTAAATGATAAAGAGCCGTCTCTTTCAGGTAGTGAAAGAATAAACACGATTACGATTTGAACATACAAGTTCACTCTCAGTCCCTCAAAAGGTAATTATGTGTAACTCGAAAGTAACCAATTCTCAAATGTGTCAACAAGACTTCCTCCCTCCACTTTCTAGTAGTCTCTCAGTACTCTACATTAGGTTTGACATGTCTCAATTTATTCAGAAACTAATTCCCAGAATGGCTGCCATTTACTTAAGATTCGGTGCTTGATGACTATTTTAATAGCATTATAAGGAACAAGCAGATTCAACAAAGCAATTGCAGACTATTGTGTCTGAAAGCTCGTTATCTTTTATGCCTACGTGTCCAGGAACCAAGCAGTAAAGCATCTCATACCCATAGCTGTTTAGTTTTTTATATATTCTTAGAATATCTACTAGTAGAAGATTTCGAGTGTCAGAAAAATTACCTAAGGGTTTTTAGAGCTCTTAATGAATTTGTGTAAATTATAAACATTTTCTGAGGTTGCTTAGAAATGAATGTAAGAGCAATATACCATAGCGGTCAATTCAGTACTACACATAGAGCAGACATTGTGCAGTCGTAATTTAAAAAAAATTTAAATTAAAGCGTTAATACTATATTTATTCATCAATTAAACATGTTGCGAAATAAAATTTTAAAAACAGAGACAGAACTTTATTTTTTTCATTTTTTTAGTTAACCCAAAGTGATTATTTTCAAGTTACATAAAAATAAAATATGTGGATGACAAAACATGTATTTTATTTAAAACATTTTGGTGTTTGGAACATAAAATAAAAGTAGCGAATCAAGGGTATCGAAAGACGTGTACTATTTTAAAGGTACCACAAAGTCGCTGTTACGAGTTATCGAAAAATAACCAAGATGTGATTTTTGTATAAATGTCATTAAACTGTGCACATTTCAATTATCTATCCAACACTAAATGTTTCTTTTATGCGGAAGTGTCTTGCTTTTCGGTTTGTATGGAACTGGCGTGTGTGGAAATACTATCAAAGCGCTGTCAAGAAAGCTCAGTATATTAACAAAAAACACCCCATCTGAAGACCAAAGACTGAGAGCAGTGCTTCACTCGTAGTGCAGGATTGGTTCCTCCTTTTATTCTTACCTCCATGATCCTCGTAAGGAAGAGTTGATAGGAAGTAGTCTGACGTCACTAAGTTGCATCTACTCTGACTTCCGCTGTTTAAAACTAGCTATGTGGGCATCCCAAATTAATTTTAATCACATATACTGTAGTCTAGTAAAGCTATGTCAAAGTGAATCTGGCGGCACTTGAAGTGATTTTATGTTACCCATGAATACATTTCCCGTAAATTATTTAGCACTATTGTGACGAGAATTTGAAGGAAAACTTTAAGATTTTAATGGCTTTACGTTATATTTATTACCATAAACGAGTGTAACTCGTCAAAAAGTCTAGACATTCAGCTAATTAATTTAGACTGAGACATAAGTCTTGTTCAAATATTTTAAGATACAAATTTGATTTATTAGTACTTGTCAAAAGAAAAATATCTTAAGTTACGATTTTTGCAATAAGAATACTCGCTTTGTACTTGAGTACATTAACATGAGAACAGTTTTTTTTTTTTTTTTTTTTTTTTTTTTCGTAGTGAAAGCTTATAAGTCTACGAAAAGAACCGATTGGCGATGAGTATCTACAATTTGTGATTAAAGTAAATTAAAAAGCGGATCTACTCTGATATGCGCCCTCAAGTCGCCAAATTTTCTCGCCAAACATTTTTGGTGAGAAACTTAAGCCTTAAAATGTCTCCAAAAACTGGTTTTCGCACATGCAAAAACCAGGTTATGAACACACGAATTTAAGCTAAAAATCCGAAACAAAAAAATTTAGATAGCAAAAACAGTTTCTAACCAAAAATATCTGACAAGAATCCATGTACACAGCGATATGTTTTTAACTTAAAAAAAATCTACGAATTGTAAAATATAGGCAGCGAAGGAATCTACGAACTACTCACACCTCGCTTTAATGAATTAACATAACAACAATAAATTTCAAAGAATACCATGTACACAGCGTTCTGTTTCAACTTTAAGAAACATCTACGAATTGCACAATCTAGACACTACGCACTAATCAACAAAATAAATTAAAATAAATTTCAAACAATTCAAAAAAAAAAAAACAATAACGACAGAAATTCATACTAAAAAAACAATGAACATAACATTCTACAAAATAAGAACAAGAATAAAAATAAAATGCACTTACAATGAATTAATGCTTTTTCAAACATCAGAAATACCAATTTCATACCGCCTTTAACATGCCGCCACGTTATCACATCGTATATGACAGCCAGACACACTATCCAAAAAATTCATACTATGGTTCACAAATAAATAAAATCACAAATCCCTACTTCTATCATGCACAGCGACTAAAAATAATCTTCCAGACCCTCTTTCCACTCCATCAAGCACCCACTGCCCCTCAACAGGATGGCCACAATGATATTTCCTTTTGCCGAACTTCAATTCAACAACTTCCACCATTTATCTTTCCTCCCTATTTTCTCAGACACAGATGCGAACCAACGAGCTCCAGCGAAAGATTTTTCAACGTCAACAGGGTTACCATACAACACGCAATCGCGCCGAAAACCAGCGCAGAACACATATCGTCACATTTGGTGAAATTAGGGCGTATATCAGAGTTGTACCTAAATGGATACAATTTGTGATGATGAATTTTAGTAATTGCCGTTCAAGATTACAAACTTCATGAAAATCAGCTACTTTACAAAACGCCACGTGTAGCTAAAAGGTGTAATAAAAAGCAAAAGAAGTTAACAATAATTTACATACAAATATTATTTTTTTCTGTTTTACGTCACAAAATAAATTAAAGAAAGTGAATAGGTTGTCATTATTTATTCTCAAGTTTTGTTCCTCTTAGGAAGCTTTCATATATTTATTTTAATTTAAATTCAAAGCAAGTTACTTAATAGTTCAATAAATTACATTTAGTTTAATAAATGCCAATCTGAAAATTTTAATGTTTAGCACTCTGTTTGAATTCCAAATTGTGACCAACAGAAATTTTTTGCAGATACTAACATTTAGATTTCAGGCAAAATGTAAGTATAAATTTGGTATTTTTATTCGTATATTTTAAAAAATATATAGTAATACGTTTTTAATTTAATCAAGAAATTTTGTTTTTAAAAATCGAACTGGCGAAAACATGCAGACTGACACAACCATGATTATTTTGACAAATTAAGCAGACTTGATTTAAAGAAAGCAATTTTAACCAGATACTAAGAAGGATATGCAATAGCTTATTGTAATATGTGAGTAACATAAAAACTGAGATCCTAGAATGAAAGGTAAAAGTTTACAATTGGGAGCCCCTTGTTTTTGGTGATTCTTTTTTGGCGGCAAGAAGGCACAATTTCAAGATGGCCGCTACAAAAAACCAAAATAAGAAGTCAAGGAATTGCACAAACTCTGTGTCAATGTACACATCAATCTATTTTCACTTAAAAAAATCCATAAATGCACAAACTAGGTATTGCACACTGTCTTAAATTGGTCTATGTACACATCAATCTATTTTCATTTTAGAAAAATCAAGAAGCTAAAACAAAGTTAAAACTATCATGGTAACCAGAAATGAGGTTTTATCGCCAAAATTCAAAAAAAAAAAAAAAAAAAAAATGTCGCTAATCGAAGGGGCACCCAATTCTACTCTAGAGCCGAATTAAAAAATGCCCTTTTATTTAAAAAAATTTCGAATTTTTAAGGGATTTAGAATTAAGTATATTTATTAGTTGGTTTAATCCTAGCATACGGTTTACATGGGTTCTGGCGACTTTTGGTGACATTTTGGCGTTAGCGACAATTTTAAAAATCACGCCAAAGTCACAAAGTATACTGGATTTTACCGAATGCCAAATCTGACCATCCCAAGTAAGAATATTCTGTATATGCATATTTAAGAAATTCTTTTATTATATTTTTTTTATATTTTGACAAATAAAGTAGAAAATGTGTGAAGAAGGATACATCTTAGTGATTTTAGTATACGTATCTTTATTTAAAAGCAAAGGGTATGGAAAATGAAATTATTCCAAATTACGTTAAATTATAAACGATTGCAGAAAGAATTAAGCGAAAATACGCATCTATTGGTATTATCTCTTTGATACGAACATTACGCTGCTGACAAATGGTTGCATAATAACATACACTACAATATTCCGGAATATTCACCAATTAATAGATTAAGGTTAAGAAGCACAAGAAACAAAGATGTTTTATTTTCAGAAATACAAAATGCACTTTTCATACACATAGTAAATTTCATCTCTTAATTCAAAACCGAAAATGAAGCAATGAGTTAACATCTTACCGGAAACCAAGTAAAATACTTAGATTATACATTTTAATTAGATCAACACAGCAGTCACATAAATAGAAGGTAATCAAAATCGTAATACAAGGTTGTTTTTACAATTTTGATTGTTACATTAGCGTGTTTCTCTTCTAGTCTAAATAGAAGGTATTTTAAGTTTAACAAAAAGACTCTTACTTAAAGTAATATAAGAATCACCTGATCAGACCATAAATACATCGCTTATCTATAATGTTACAGTCGTTGTTCGCAGATTTTAACAGAAAGTTAGAGTCGTTTTTCGCAGATTATCCGCCAAGCTAACGGCTAAAACCCTCCGAGATCTGAAGAAATTCAACCAATCAGAAAGGGCCGTTACGCTGGAGACTTTTGGCATTATTTTCTGTTCGCCAAACGCAATTTTTATGCGAAACTGGCATACAAGACAATGGCTTGCTAATGTTATGGTAACTTCTTGGTTATGTTATGGAAATTATGCATACTTCTTGGGTAGAAGAAGTTCGTTTTGTTTTGGTTATTATTTTGTGCTACTGATATGATTTAATATTTAATTTACTGTAGGGGTAATAAGTCAAGAATGTACAATATTTATCGTGACTAATTTAAATATGAATTTCTAAAATAACGACAATAAAAAAAATTTAAAAAAAGCTTTATATCCTACTCAATTTCTGTTCATTACCGAATTACCTTTTGTATTTTCTCATACCCTTTACTTACTATTGATAAAAAACATTACTGTATTGTGAAATTTCTTCGCTTTTTGTATATTTGAAAATGCTTGGTGATATCTAGTTCCTTATTATTTATAAATGGTAGTTCTTTAATTAATTTTTTTATTATTATTTTTATTTTGACTAGCAGCTCTTAGAAATCTCTTTTTTATGTATTTTTTCTGTAGGCAGAATTATACTAACAAAAGCTCCTACTGAAATATAGAAAATGCAGAGATTATTAAAATGCAGAGGTGTGATAGATCATAAAATTTCAGCTAATTAACTCCCAAAAGAAAAAATAATTGAGAAATACATCGTATGAAACTTGTTTTATGCATTATTTTCTACCCAAATAGGTCTATTTCGTTTCATTGTGTTACATAAAAATAAAGACATAATTTTTTCAAGTTTTGCAAAACTGCAGCATTAGCATAATCAAGTAATTTTTATTTATGACAAATCTGTGGAGCATTTTACACTCTACATCATACTGTAAGTTTTACTATGTGTATCATTTTCTTTTGTTGTCAGGACTTTTCTAAATAATGTGTCCTAATTTATCAGCTTTACTACTCTTCAGAGTTTATAGTTATATATTAGATCACACAGTCTTTAATCTGCAATTTAAATTACGTTTGCTTATAATTGCTCTAAATGTTTATGCTTTCAGATGCCTTGTTGTAATCTCTAGCAGAAAAGCTTGAGATCCCGAGCACTTTTTTTTTTCCTGTATCAGTAAAATATTACAATAAAAACAACTCTCACCATTGGATTCCTCTATTTTTTTATTTTCTAAGGAGTCACAAATTTTATTCTGTACCTACACATCTACTGCCTATGTTCTTATAATTTTCTATTATTTCTGATTGTGGAATTGCAGTTACTTTTCACAATTCTGTATTTTTCCAGTAAAGATGTAAACATGAAAAACTAATTTTTGTTTGTTTGTTTATTTGTAAATCAAACTAGAAAATTTATAAAAATATTTCATTAGGCAAAAGAATGTACAATTATTATTTTTTTCTTTTTTTGCTTGAGTTTTATACCGATGGTAGTAAATGGGAATTTTTCTTATTTGATTAATTGATTATTGGAAAACACAGAAACAGTATCTTCTTGAGGGAAAGAAGACTTTCATGAAATATACTTAAAACTAACTGGCTTCTGTTCATGTGACACATGAGAAAAATATCATGCAGCTAGCCGGTCCACCAGGGCTCAAATTACTACTGCTCCGTAGTCTTATCCATTCGGTTACTGATGAATACTTATTATGAAAGATGCTAATAATTTTTCTTTGTATGAAAATTGTGTGTCCATCTTATAGGTTTCTCACTTTACTCTGCTGCTGAATCTTTGGATAAAGTTACCATCATATGATATATCATTCTTATTTCTTCATATCAAAACTGATTTGGCAACTACTTTTTTTGATTTTGAATAATTATTAATAGTGGCATATTAATTGTATAAAAAGGACTCTGTTTATAATTGTTATATTTCCCAATTAATAAATTAACATCATTGAGTTTATTATACCATTGCTGCATAAGAGTCAAAGTTGTCTTTATGACAAATGAGCGGATATTTGAGTTTGGGCATGCATTTACTTACATAATTAACATTCATTTATTGTTTTGCAATGGTTTATAGTAATGTTATAATGTATTTCTCCCGCCTTCTTCGCGTGCCTTCGTGGTGTGTAAATACGCATATACATTCTTTGTCACTAAATAATAAATTATAAAGAAATTCCGCTTACCTGTCAGACGCAATCTCGCCTTTTGTCATTTTCTCTAAATTTTATTTGACGACACAATAAATACATTTACAATAAATGGAAGCACATATAAACTTTAGTTAGTGTTTCGCGTTCGTGTTATCTTTTCCAGTCATCAAGGTTCTGCACTAGTCCAAGGAATTCAAACGCACTCAGCGCCATCTGGTGCAATACAGTTTCAACAGACTGCACCCCGAATGACTAGGGGTTCATTCAAACATTTACATTAATACAAATTTAACATAAGAAGCTCTTACAATGTAAAGTTCAATCAAATCACATATTAAAGAAACTACACTTATTTACTATATAAACAAATCATTCATCTTTAAACAATTTGTAAAGTTACCTGCAATAAAGTATAATAAAGATAATAAGCTGGCAACTCAACACCTGTACATACATTAAACTTCATCACATATATGGAATAGTCCTGTAACAATAATACAGATTAACAGATAATAAACATATAATAAACAATTAAATTTATTCACTTTATTTCAAGATTATATAAAAGCTGCACAGGTCTTTTAATAACTGATGTACCTGTTTTAATTTCACTTCAGACCTTACTTTTCCATCTCTGCCAGGAAATACTGTTACAACTCTTCCTAATTTCCAAAATGTCTAGGTAGCTTTTCATCATGAATTAATACAATATCATTAACTTTAAATTCAGTAATTTTACCTGAAGGTTAACACAATGAACAGATCTCAGCATTAATAAGTATTCATTTTTCCATTTATTCCAAAACATACTTACCAATCTTTCTCGATAATTAAATCTTTAATTAGCATTTTCCTATTAACTAAATTAGAATCAAAATGAAGCCTGGCAGGAGGCAAACTATTCACCCTGCGCCCCAATAGCATATGAGCTGTAGTTAGAGGCATAGGTTCCTGTAATTCAGAATAAACATAAGTTAAAGGTCGAGAGTTAAAAATACCTTCAATTTCAATAATTAGAGTTTCTAACTCGTCTCGAGATAAAGTAGTTTTTCGTAAAGCAAATTTTACAGATTTAATTAGTCTTTCATAGAAGCCACCCCACCACGCAGCTTTCTCAGCGATGTAGCACCATTGGATTTTGTAGGAAACGTAAAAGTCTTTTACTGTTGGATGTCTAATGTCAGCCCACAAATTTTTAAATTCAAGCTTTGATCGTTTGAAAGTTTTGCCATTGACCGTCAAAACTTGAGAACAACAGACCTCGACGAGCAATGAATCGTCGAAAAGCAAGAAGAAATGTTTCTGTGGTCATGCTGCCAACAAACTCTAAATGAAGAGCTCGCGTTACTCCACAAGTAAACAACACGATGTAGTTTTTCTCATCACTGTCTTTGGTATAAAGTGGTCCACTGAAATCTATACCTACTACAGAAAAAGGAGGTAATTCTTCTGTTCTATTTACTGGTAAAGGAGCAGTAACTTGCACACCAGGAGAAGAATTAAATCGTTTACACAGAATACATTTTCTTAAGATATTTTTAACAGTTTGTCTTCCTTTAATTATCCAGTATCTTTCGCGTATTTCTATCAAAGTTTCAGAAATTCCACCGTGAAACACTTTGCTGTGTGCATCCCACACTAATAAATTCACAAAGTGATGTTTTGAGGGCATAATAATTGGGTGTCTTTGAAGGTAAGAAAGTCTTGACTTCTGAAGTCTTCCACCAACATGCATTATCCTGTCATTATTAAGAAAGGGATTCAGTTCTAGAATAGAGGAAGTCTTAGAAATTGTTTTACCCTGTCTCAAAGAGGACAGCTCTTCCGCAAAAGCTTCACTTTGAACAGTTTTTTGTCCAGATAATTTCAGCCTCGTTAAGTTCTTCAGTGCTTAGTTCACCACATATCGTTTAGTTTTAAATTTAAGGTTGTATATAAATCGTAGTATCCAAACTTGTAACACGGTATAATTTTCTTAAACTACTATATCTATTCAAATCCATTAAATGTGTCAAATTCGATTGAGCTTCGCACACAAAAGACGATACTTCTTCCAGTTTACTTCTTTTTTCGCAATATACTTCTGGAGAAATCTCTAGACAAATTTCATAATTAGAGCCTTTTGGCCAATCCCTTTTCTTCAACCGAAGCCATACTGGACCTTGCATCCAAGTCGAACTGGACATAAAACTTTTCAACGGTAGCTCCTCGAGATACGAAATCTGCAGGATTATCCTGCCCACTACAGTGATTCCAATCAGCAGGATCAGTTTTAGACTGGATTTCGGATACACGGTTCGATACAAAAGGTTTCCATTTTGAAGCTTTCCCTTTAATCCAATGAAGAGCGATTAAGGAATCTGTCCACATATATACCCTAGGCACAGGAAATTTAAAATTTGTTTTCAAATATTGGAAAAGTCTAGAAGCAATAACAGCTCCCATAAGTTCAAGCCTCGGTAATGTCAACCTTTTAAGCGGTGCGATTCTAGATTTCGCAGTGATAAAACTTGTATAAATACAATCATCACTTGACACGTAACGGAAGTACGCAACTGCTCCGAAAGCTTTAGGAGAAGCGTCAGAAAATATGTGTAGTTCTAATTCTTTCACCAACTTCCATGGTATGGAGAAATATTTTCTTTCGATTGTCAAATCTTTCAACAGATAAATCTGAGAGCACCAATTATCCCATTTTTTCTTCAAGTCAGTTGATAGCTCATCATCCCATCCTAAACCAAGTTCCCATATTTCTTGCATTAATAATTTTATGAGAACAATAAAAGGTGATGCAATTCCCATAGGATCAAATAACTTCGAAGCTGTCTGAAGTACACTACGTTTTGAATTCTTCCTATCACAGGTCATGTCCAGTAGAGGTTTTACATCTAACTTAAAAGTATCTTCTTCGGTGTTCCATATTATGCCTTAAAACCTTCAAAGGACGTTCTTTAGTTTCTGTCACATCAGACAAAAACCTCGTTCACTCCATAAATTTCTCAACTCATCCGAATTAGTATTAAATTTTCTTAAATTCATGTTCGCATCTTTAAGAATTTTTACAGCGCTCTGTGAAAGTTCTAAAGTTTTCTCTATTGTATTTGCTCCGTATAAAAAGATCATCTACATAAAGTGCCGAGTCAAGCATTTTACAAGTTTCGCTTTGTTCAAGTTTATATTTCTAGTGTGGTATTTAATAGTCGCAGCAAGGATAAATGGGCTTGATGTCACTCCAAAGGAAACGCGAGTCATTCGTGAAATCTTGTAAGTTTTTGAATCACTTTCATCTGGAAATCAGAAAAAACGTAAATAGTCTCTGTCCTCTTCAGCTATTCCTATGGTCAAAAATGCTCCCTGAATATCACAGCTGAATGCATAGTTTATTAATCACAAATTCGTTAAAGTTTTACAAAATATGAAATAGATAAAAACAAATTCGACATTCGGCCGTCCAGATGCCCATGTTCGGGTGGAAGATTAGATTATTCAAAATTTGATGACTCTAGATACCGTCGTTTCTGTCACAGTGCGTGAAACATAATTGTAATCATGCAGATTAATCATTATTTAATTTCTTTAAATATAATACAGGGCGATAATATTTGGTAACAACAATTTGCAAGGAGACACGGACATTTATAGTGAAACAGCGCAAAATGCCTGTTTCGAGCTAATAAATTAAATTAACAGTAAATAGAAAAAATCTTATGCAAAACTAAAAGTAAATTTAAAAAATAATCACTATAAAATGCAAGCAAAATTAATTATTACTGTTAAATACAATTTTAATATTAAGTGTATAAAAACTAAGGAGTCAAAAGTGTTTATCACTATATTATGAAATATACGAGGGCTATCCAGAAAGTAGATTACGTTTTGGAATAAAAAAATAAACAAAGTATAGGAAACAAATTTTATTATATACAGATGAAAGCCACACTCAAATACTACTTTTCTACATAGTCACCATACAAATTAAGGCATTTATCGTAGCGATGTACGAGCTTGGAAATTCCTTCGTCGAAAAATTCGGCCCCTGCCTGCGCCTTCAACCACTTCGTTACCTCTTCTTGCCTTCCATCTTGCACAAAACTTGTGGTAACCAAGCTTTTCGCTGATGATTTCGTGCAACAAACTTCGCGAAATTTGTGGAAAACTCAAAGAAGTTCCGTTATTGTGAAATTTCGATTTTCACGGACTTTAGCATCGACTTTTTCGAGAAGTTCGGCGGTCACTATGCTGGGTCTCCCACTTCGATCTTCGTCGTGTGAAACATTGGTTCGGCCATTTTGAAATCTTATGACCCACTGACGCACTCCACCTTCAGTGATAATGTTGTCCCCATACACTTCACGAAGCTGCCGATAGATTTCTATCGGTTTCAGTTTTTTGCAGTCAGAAACCTTATTACTGAGCGCACCTCGCAGCTCGCGGGATTTTCAATTAACGCAGACATTTCAAACCGTCACAGTATCTGAACGGAGCACAGCAACGAACCTCTCACTAGCACGGCTAGATGCAGACTGAGCTGCGCAACGCTCGACCCCAAGATGGCCGCGCTAGCCCCGCCCCTAGCGGACACAGACGGAAACGTAATCTACTTCCTGGATGGCCCTCGTAATTGAAATAAAATTCCTTTATAGAAATTGTGCTATATTACTCATCTATAATTTTAAAAAAAGCAGCTCAATTTAGAATTTTAAACGAAACTTTTCAAAAATTCGTTTTTAAATATTTTAGTATTTTTTACTTATTTACACTAATAAAAAGCATAAAAATTGCTTGTTTGAAGTTTTCTATTAGTTCAGAATAAAAATATTATTTTCTAAAGAAGTAGTTACAAATTTTCCTTACAGCATAGAAAACGCTAAAAAAATATCCAGACCTGAAAGCATGCAATAGCTTTATAATTATTTAGAAATATGCTAAATTTTAAAAATCAATCTCAGTTTCAAAAATAAAAATGTGGAGAAATTCTAATTTGTGAAATGAGGCGCTACAACCAGCTTTTTTTGACAATTATACACGCTGCTATAGGAAACCACTGTTAAATTTCTGCAAGTCGTCCCTACTCCTCCGGATGTGATCAAGGTGACAGCCGGGAACGTGTCAGACAAGGGTGAAAACCTATTTGGGTTGGTCTATTTCTTATAAGGTCCATGCTTACAACACCTTAGTGTGGCGACTTTAATATAAAAAAAAAATTGTAGTGATTTTTTTTCCTAGGGGGGGAGAAGTGTTATTTCTTCTTGTCCTAACTCGGTAAATATATTTTAAGTACAGAGATTTTCAATAAATGTATTCTTAATTTTAAAAACTTCATATTAAAGGTGTTAGCATTACTTCATGTTCAATGTATATCCATTTTTTGCAGATGCAATCTCCAAAAACATGATTCAAGTCAGTTTTCGGAAGTAGCAAAAACGACGTTGAGAGCTAACATAGTATACTGTAAATTCACAATATTTATAATCAGTCTGAAAAAGTAAAATTTATTTTTGGAGTTAGACTAATATAGATTTAGAAGAAAGAAATAGAGATACGCATTTAAAACTTAAAAAATATTACTTTATGAATATTGCCCGTTTTTTAATGTGTAACATCTTTTGTACCTTTGCACAAAATTAGTGTTTATCAGAGAAGGAAGTCTCTTTTTTTATACACATATATTCAGTAATTCAGCGACATTACCGAATTGAACTTGCTTTTTTCTTTCATTTAAGGCAACAGAATTTTGCAAATGACATTGACGTTAACATGGAAATAACATAACATTTACAGAAATATTTTCTGCATTGTGAAAGGAATAGAATGCAACAAAACTGCAATAATGACAATATACTTACTGGCACACAAAGCCTTTATAATTGAACCGAGATAGTCGCGTTTTGGTTTTTGCACTAAATTCATGAACACAGCTATTTATATAATCTAAGTCTTTAAGATTGCTTCCGATATTAAAAGCGTCTTTGAAAGATTTCATAGTTTTATGATTTCATGAAACAGGAAGCCATCTGCAAAACACTGCGGTTAAATTTTTTCGTTTGAAAGAAAATAAACGATCATTTTCAGACTTCCGTGTCACTCATGCGCATCATTTAACGGAAAAAAACCTTATGAATCCCTCCTAAATATCATTACGCAAAGAGAAAATGATGTCACCAAAGTATGTCCAATCACATACGGAATTTTCACTATATATTTCAGTACGGAATTTTCTCTATCCGCGTGGCGCGGTACAGAATGCTTATATGCTAACTGACGTGATACTAAATCTGATAAGGCCAAGAGGCTTACTAGTGTAACAGCGAAGTAACAACGAAACGTGCGCTTGGCTAGAGAAACTTGCTCTGAAAACCTCAGATATTCACCCGTTTAAATATGCACTTCACTTAACTTTAAATTTACATCCTGGCAAGAGAATGTGAGGGGAAGTTGAGAAGTCTAGAATAGGTATCAAACTTAAAATAAATTTGTTATGCAAAATAAGGAAAACAGTTTGTAGCGTTGCGCGCCTCCAACTTGCACGCAACCAAGAGGTGACTGTGAAAACTGGATAAAAGACAGAGTCTTGTTAAGGGTTTAAGTCCCTTTTTATTCAACGTAATAAATTACAAGTGCGTGCTCTTGACGCTCACAAACTGCGCCAACTCGGCGGTCAAATAAAAATAATAACCTGAAAAGAAACTAAAGACAAGACTCTAACTACGAGGCTCTCTAAAAGTAACTAACTCA